TGTATGGAAAGTATGTTTGCTATTAAGATTTCACATGCACACACATACACACGCGCGCACGCGCACACACACAGATAGCTGAATACACAAGTGTAAAGGAATGAATAAATTATTATTAATTGAATACAAACAAGTGTGTTTTATAAAAACATAACTTGTTCATTCATAATTCTCAAATTCCAAATAAACCAAGATGCTAATGATGATGGTGATAGTGATGAAATCGATGATGATGATGATGACGGTAATAAATAATATTAGTAATAATAAATATATATAATTATGATTAGTAACAATAATAACCACACACACACACACACACACACACGCACAGAGCCGAACTGTCAGACTTCACGTCAGATAATCACTCATTGGTCGAATTGTGTCAAACCGGACTGCTACATATGTGGTCCTCTCAGAAAGGCTTGCGCCCACAACAACAATAATAATAACAACAATAATAACAACAACAATAACATAGGTAGTCTAAGTTACTACAGTAGTAACAAAAATAATATAGGTAGCAATAATAACAATAACAACAATAATGGTATTAGTCTTGATGACCTTAAAGGGCCAAGCAGATTTTATAATAATAATAATAATAATTTTAATATAAATAATAATAATAATATTAATAAAAATAACGTTACTGAGTCTACTGGTCTCCAGATGTTCCCATACAAGCCCAGCACCACCACCAACAACAACAGCAACTCCAATTTATCTTCAAATGCATTTAATGGCCTGACCTATTCAGATACATATGACTTTTTAAGTAAGTTGTCATGCCTATCTATGATGTCATTGTCGTTGTTGTTGCTGTTGTTGTCATTAATTTCGCTGTTGTTTATTTTGCTTCTTGTACTGTTCTATTTTTAAAATGCTTGCCATTTTTACAAAAAAAACCTTGACAGAAAAGTCATTTTGACATAAACAACCATCACACCATGAACAGCTGCAATACATAATCATGAACAACGATAACAAAAATGACAAACGACAATCACAGTGTAAAACTAGGACAACTATTATAAGGATCACAAACAACAACAACACTTTTACAGCAGATATGGCCTCTATAACCTCTGCAATGACAACAACAACACCATCATTAACGTCAACAACATCCGTATCTGCAACAGTAACAACGACAAATGAAGCCAGTAAGGGTAATGATGCTGAGCTGGATTGGCATGCCAGTGTCACTGATGATCTCAGGAATCATCTTGTCAAACACCTGTTAGCAAATTTATTAATTTATTTATATTTTCATAACTTTTTCTTTAACAACTTAATCCATTAGTTTTTCTTATTTGTTCGTTTTTCTTTGAAAATAATAGAGTAAATTTAAAATTTGTTGATAATTTCGTCAACAGAGTGCAGGCCATCTTTCCCCAGGCGAGCAGCAACGAAATATTGAAAGATGGACGAATTAGAGATCTTGTTGATTATGCCAGGAAAGTCGAAGGAGACAACTTTGACAAGGCCAAGAACAAAGTTGGTGTTTGTGTCTGTTTGTCTGTGTTACCTGTTTGTCTTGCCATTTGTTAGATGCCATAAGAAGGTGATGATGTAACTAAAATTGAAACATTATTATTATTGAAACAGATGGAATATTACTCCTTACTGGCTCAAAAAATCTATCAAGTCCAGAAGAGACTTGAAAGTCAGAAACATCAACGACATCAACAACAACAACAATTATTACAGCAACAGCAGCAGCAACAACAAATACATCATCAACTACAATTACCTTTCCAACAGTTTAAACATCTGCAACATAATTTCTCGCAACACCATCTACAACAACAACATCGACAGCAGTTTTATAATCATCAAAAATTATTACTTCAGCAACAACATCATCATCAACAACAACAACCAGCCAATTATTTATCTAGCTCAACCGTCCTACCTGTGTTTGTAGACAACAACAACAATAACATCAACAGTAACAACACTACAATAACCTCAGGCAGCATTAAAGGTGGAAATGTCAACAACAATAGTAATAGTAATAATAATATGAGAGCAGCACCAGATAGCAGCATAAACTTCCAAATATCAGTATCATCATCTTCGGTAATTCCTACTTCTATTTCTTTCTCTGGTGAGATTTCATTCCAAAGTTAGTTTCACTTTCACTTTTGAAAAATTAGTTGTTTGTTTTGTTTTCTTTCCTTTCAATCTGAATGGTTATTATACTTTAGTAAATGAAAGTAAGAGTGAATCATCAAGGAGTGGATAAATTGAAAAGATGTTATTTTGTCATCTTCATATTTCATTTTTCTCATGTTTTTCTTTCTCATCTTCGTCATCGTCTTCATCACAAACGCCAGATTATTCTCAAGCTGGTGTATTATCATCATTATCAGCTTCGTTATCATCGTCAACATCACCATCATCATCATCACTGACGACGACAGCAGCAGCACCAGCAGCGGCGACAACAACCACAACACTATTGTCATCTATCTCTCTGCCAGACAATTGTTCTAGTGCATCTTTTGAGGTTTGCATGTAAAAATGAATTATTATTAATAGGGATGATATCGTTATTAATTTAAATAATTTCAACGTTATAATTACTTTAAAATTGAATTTTTAAATGCAAGTGAAATCATCATCAGCAGCATTGCCATCATCATTTGCATGATCAGGTGTTTAATTACAAAGAAGAAACCAAGAGGCCAGACGCCAACAACGGCTCATCAACTTCTTCTACTAATACCATTTCTAGTTCAAACAGCAGCTGTAATAATATTACCACGAACAACCACAACACAGATGGCAACAATATCTTGAACAAGCTAAATGCCCCAACTAAATTTGTAAGTTGTATGCTTTCTTCCATCTATTTATTTCTTCAATTTTTAATTTATTCTTTTCCAAACTTAATCAATCATTCATTCATTCATTCATTTGTCAAATTTTCATTCATCCATCTTTTTATCTATCTGTCAATCCATTTAACTTTTTTGTCACATTCCTGATTTTAGGACATGATGATGTCACCCAGTCTACCATGTGAAGATGCGTTGGACAATCTGTATGATCTGCCAATTAGTGAAGGGGGCCCTGGGGTCCAGTCGGTTTCATCGTTTGGGTCGCCGTTTGGCGGTTAGATGTTGAAATTTTTAGTCTACAAATCTAAATTTTTGTTTTTGAAATACACTTGTGATAAATGAATAAATAAATTTCTTCCTGGTAGATTGTTTCAGTCAGTTCATGGCTCCACCGAGTAACAAGTCGACCACATTTACATCCATCATTACCTCAATTGAGAATGACGTTGAAATGTTTAATAGAAGCAACAAACTCAACAACAACTGCAATGACAATGACAATGACATAGATCTTTTAATCAGGACATCATCTTTGTTGTCAGCATCATCAGCAACAACGAAAGCAGCGTCATCATTTGCTGTAACAAAAACATCAATTTCAACTTCATCATCATCGTCATTAGCTTGTACATCTTTAATGTCTGGACTGCTGATGACTGACAACGACGAGAACGCCAATGATAACATCTTAAACAATTTTTCAAATGCTCATTTATCTATGACAAAACGATATCACCAGGATGGGAACGACGATAATAAGGACCTGGATGCCGACGATGATTATTCAGTTAAAAAGGTGAAATTAGGGAGTCACAGCAGCGTAACCTGGATCAAAAGCGAACCCAACAAAGATGATGAGGACGTTAAGATGGCCACGCTAACAGATCTTCTGAAGAATGACGACGACAACGACGATGATGGCGACATTGGTGTTGACAAGAAAAAAATCTCAATGTTAATTGAACATAGCGATGACAATTATGATTACGGTGACATCAAGATAAAGAAAGAAGAGATAACTTTCGATAACGATGATGATGATAACATCATTAAAGATAATGCTAACATAAGTGTCATTAATGACAACAACAATGATGAGAACGGCCACAATACTGACGATGACAATACCGGCCAAGAAAGCAAGCAGATAGACAATAGCCAAGAGGACAGCGGGATGAGAATGAATGATGATACTGCTGATAACAATGGTAGAAGTGACGATGGTAGTAATATCTTCAAAGAACAACAGCAGCACACCTGCCTATCTAATCAACGTAATTATTTATCTCTCATAATCTTCTTATTTGGCATCGCTTTCATCTGATGATGCATGCATATAAGGATAATTTTGATTGAGTTTATTGGGTGGATGGTTTGGTTATTTATTTGATACATTTTGAAATAGATATTTTAGCTGTACACATACACAAAACAGACCTACTGGAGGCGCGCCAATTGATTTGCATTGGTCGGATAAACCCGCGAAATTTGAAATTCAGCTTCGATCTTTTTTAACGGCAGAATAGTGCAATTCTCGTTTGAGTCATCATTTTTTTTGTTCCAGAACAATAATTGTTTAATATTAATAAGGATAAAAAATTATTTTGACCATCACAGCCGCCAGAACGTCTGGTTTTGAACAAGAGATTGGACATTAAATTTATAGATTTATACCGTTTTGCATGTTGCGTCTACACTCTGTCAATACTTTTTTAAAATATCAAGTCGTGTCATTGTGGCTTCGTTTACGTTTAAGTTTTTATGGGTTCTAAAGTTTTTTTTCATCATTAACTTATCATAGTTTCAGATATGGTTTACTTTGCGACTTATAATTCTTATATTATAATCTGGATTATAATAATAATAATCTTCCTATAATTATAATCTGGATAGAAAATTGTTGGATAGATAGGTAGGTAGGTAGATAAGTAGGTAGGTAGATATGTAGGTAGGTAGATATGTAGGTAGGTAGGTATATAGGTAGATAGATATTAATAGCATATTGTTCTCTAAAGTAGCTCGTTTTTCACGCCCAAAAATATTGGCTTTGGCCTAATCCTCTATTCTATTCTGTGCACTCCTAATACATGCATACGTACACGCACATACACTCACTCACGAATGTACACCCACACAGCTTATTCAGAAGCAGACCTGTATGCAGCCATCTTGCCATCTTTTCAAAAAATTTACAAACAAGAGCCCGAGTCTCTTCCTTTTAGGATGCCTGTTAATCCTGATTTGCTCGGAATTCCCGTAAGTTTCGTTTTCTTATGTTAAGTTGATGTTTAATAACTTTTTTCGAAAGATAAGTGATTTGCGAATTGTTATTTGTTAACTGTGCTGTATTCTTCTGTCTGCTATTATTTCAATTCTATCCACTTCGATCAACTAAGATTTACAACCAGCCAATCAAATAATCTTCAACAACTTTTTCACTCACTGTCAACCAATCAAATAACTTGCTCCCAACCAAATGATCCAGGATTACTTTGATAAGATAAAAAATCCCATGGACCTGTCTACTATAGAAATGAAACTCAACAATAGACAATACACCGATCCATGGCAATACATTAATGACGTATATCTGATGTTTGAGAATGCCTGGTGCTATAACAAGAGAACTCACAGAGTCTATAAGTACTGCACTAAGGTTATTGATGAGGTGATGGTGGTGAGGTGATAGTAAATAATAAATATAATTAAAATTCCTCGTAGTTGTCTGAAATCTTTGACTCGGAGATTGATGGA